AGGATGAGGGGGAATAACCATGATAAGGAATAGTGCAGCTTGTGGGAGGGCACAGGCAGGTCCTGCATGGAGCTGGCAGAATCCCAAGGGAGAAACAGCAGCTCCAAACAGGACCTGTGAGCCCAAAATCTTGTCTGAAATAGCTCCATCAGCCTATGGAAATACTGGGATAAAAATGACATTTTATCCCCAAGACACACAGCTGTGGGAGTGCCAAGCAGGAAGGACCTTTGGGCATCCACACCTTAAAGAGGGAGAGGAACCTGACCAAATTACTTCAGTAAAAGTATTTATGGTATTTTTCAGCTCTATTTTATCTATTTGCAAAGAGGAAATAACAACCTAATCCAGTTCACAAATACTCAAAATTCCTCCCAGGCCTGCCAGCACGTCCAAAGGAAATTGTGGATTGGACAGATACTATGTTGGATGGGGCCCTAAGAGATGCATTTTGTTGTAAAAATTGGATTTTAAAATTGAATTTCAGCCTGTTTTGATTGATTGGTTTGTTCTTGAAGGAAAAATTTGTTGTTTTAGGGTTTTTTTCCCCTGTTGGTCCAACACGGTGCAGGCTGTGATGGATTATCATTAACCAGGGCTGGCTGTGTCAGGGTTTCTGTGCCCTTTTGAGGCCAGGGGAGGAATTAATTGTGCTGTCCTCTCACCTCATCATGTCCTATAAAGCTGATTCAAGGCAGAACCTCAGTTAACTCCTGTTTCTGACAGCAGGAGTGGTTAAGTGGGAACAGCTGAGTTCTAACGATGTGTTTTCCTTTCTCCTCAGCCCACCACCAGAGTGGCCACAACAGTGGTGTGATCCACAGTGGGATTTACTACACCCCTGGCTCCCTGAAGGCCAAGCTGTGCGTGCAGGGGGCAGCCCTGTGCTACAGATACTGTGACCAGAAGGGCATTCCCTACAAGCAGTGTGGCAAGGTACAGCAGCTCTGGGAGTCCCTGCCTCACCCTGCAGGCTGAGCCTCTGTGGTGTGTGCTGCCAGGCCTGCTTGTGGGTTTTCTCCTCACTCTCTGAGTTACAGATGATTTTGTACATAAATGTGTGTAATGTCCATAATCCCCTTCTGCCCCCAGATCATCACTTTCAGTTTGAGAGGAGGTTTTTCATGATCTCCCCACCCTGTCTCCATGCTCTGAGCCATTTTTAATTCAAGAAGGTTTTTCATGATCTCCCCACCCTGTCTCCATGCTGTGAGCCATTTTTTATTCAGTGTCTTTGGTGCAAGGTGAGGACACCAGGGCTGGGCAGAGCTTGCCAGGTGTGGTCAGGCTCAGTGGAACAGAATTCTGTCTCCATTTCCCAGTGTTTCTAACACTCACTTCAGGTTTTCCACCTCTCCCTGGGCACCGAGCTGCTGTTGCC